AATCCTGCCTCTTTTGACATGTTGTAAAAATATAGTAAGGTTTTCAGAGCAAAAAAACAATTTATTGCTGTGATATAAGTGGCACGCTGTGCGGAGTCTAATAATAACAAATAAAATAATACTGCCTGTGTTACTTAACTTCTCTGTACCTGCTCCTGTAAAACTGCATAATACTATTCATAGTATAAAGTACATACTCAACTAGTGTTCATCAAGAGAAAACAAGTTATACTCTATGATAAGAGCCATTGATATATGGAGGATTAATAGCTTGATGCATTATTCCTAAGGACAGACAATGGTGCAGCACAGGCAACTGAGGAGGAGAGGACAGCCTAAGTATCAAAAATTCAACGTGGGACATTGGAATATTCCGATGCCAGGACTCAGCTGATCTTCACAGACTTCCCAGATTGCACAGGAAACTGGGTCCTACACGGCATACTGTCCTGAACCCTGGCCAGAAAGTAATCGAGACTGCTGAGATGAAAACTGATGTGGGACATTTAGATAAATTTTATTGAACCTCAGAAGTGCTTTGACTGGGTTAAAAGGATTGGTAAATTTCTCTGACCTGGGTTACCTGCCTCGACAGCAAGTAAGCCAAGGTACTGGAGATGACCATAGGTTGTGCTATAACCAGGTTTGTTTATTACATTTACACACAGAAGGAAAGAACAATAGCAGTATCTGCTACCTGCCTGGCATGTTTTTGTATGGCATAAATGTGATGTAATCATCATCAGTGGTTGGTAATGATGTTGTGACAGCAGTCGGGGTCTGCACTGTAGGTTTGCTATTTGCAAATGCAGTGCACACACACATACAAAATGTGACAGTCAACAGAGCTTATTGTAAATTTAGTCATTGCATCTTAAGGACCTCTTAAGGGATTCTTTTACTGGCATGTTTTTGTATGGCATAAATGTGATGTAATCATCATCAGTGGTTGGTAATGATGTTGTGACAGCAGTCGGGGTCTGCACTGTAGGTTTGCTATTTGCAAATGCAGTGCACACACACATACAAAATGTGACAGTCAACAGAGCTTATTGTAAATTTAGTCATTGCATCTTAAGGACCTCTTAAGGGATTCTTTTACTTTGACCTGTGTCAGTGTTCTCACAAGGCCACCTGATGTTTCATCACAGCCTCTTCTCTTCAAATTTCTAATTCATGAAAATCAGGCCAGTATTGATTTCAATGGAAATTGTTGTTGCTTAGCGCCATGGGTAATCTGGGTTTACATTTTATGA